AGGGGTTTTGTGGAGATTTAGTATTTTCATAGTCCCACAATAGGACGAAACGACCGTCCAGTGCTTCCAAATTGATTCATACGCTTTAAAAAAATCGTACAGTTTATCAAATCCATTAATTAGTAAAAAAAACTCTTCTGAGGGGATCAGAAACTAAGGATAACATCTCAATCAGGTTTGATAAAATGAAGAAATAGTAGGCAAATACTTCATTTTAGGGTGGACCCTTTTTGAACTCACGAAAAACAGAATCACACTAGGAATTAAAAATATCGTCTCCAGGTTTAAAATTATTTTTAGAAAATGAAGATGACACCCAACAGTCTATCAGTGATATTAGTCTCACAAAAGTTTCGTTTATTGTTCATAAAGTCAGTCACTTAACTCGATTATGTCTAACTTTCATTCACTCAAATTAATTCCATTTTTCGGTCATATAACTGACAAATTTTCAATACGTTTCAATATTAGACATGCTATATCAAACAGCTTTTTTGGTATATATGTACTTAGGTATTTGGATCAAGCCTTATTGAAAAAATAACTAATCGACTATTTATAAATTGACATGTTAAAGGTGTTTCCATTAGAAATTTCACTTAAAGCTTTGTCATAGATTTTGTTAATACGGAAACATCAAACCAACAGAGATTGAATATACTACTAATTGATTTGAGTGATTAAGGATCAGTGACATAAATCAGTAGGAGTTTCCATTAAGTTAGTGTAATTCAGAAATTAAAAGACTAGTTCAATTTTTAGTATGAATACAAGTCTTTTTCAGAGTGAAGCCTTCTTGGAATAACTTATTTTGGTTAAATAATCTTAGACAAATCACTTTACCATATGTTTGGTGAATTCAATATCAGTATTTTTATTCACTGAGTATATTCTTCTGTTAAAAGAGCATATTGATTGGAAATAATCATCTGTTAATTTTTCTCAAAAAATAAATAGTTAACTGGTGGTTTCTAAGATCATTATAATTCTAGTTAATAGTTTGGAGTGAATTCTACCTGAGACGGAAGTAATTCTAAATGTTATCAATATTAACAACTCTGATACTATTCACGGTACTACTACTACTACTACTAATGATAATAATAATAATAATACTACCAATAGTAATAGTAATAATAATAAGAATAAGAATAAGAGTAATAATAATAATAAGAATAGATATCTTGCTTATGAACTAGCTACTCCGACTTTTAAATAAATATTTCATATGAAAAATTGCTGATATTCTCGGAAAGTATATGTATAGAAGGGAATGAAGTGGGGATGACCAGTTTATTGGTTTATACAAAATTACAGGATGATTCGCACAATACTAAAACTGCACACAAAATACTTCATTTGCACATCTTCCATCAATTGTCTCTTACAATATTCATCGTTCCTTCCTTTCCTTTTGTCATCGCGATTTCTCTCTGTTTAAATTACTGTTCTCTTTAATTGGATCTTCTCAACCTTTTGCTTCCAGTCATTTCATTTCTGATATATATATATATATATATATATCCCTCGTGGAAGATATCATATCTAAAATGCTTGAGTTTAAAATGCAAATAATCTGGAGAATGGACAAAATAATTTTAGATGAGATTCGAAGATTATTTAGTGTAAATTTCTTAGTCCTATATAAATTCAGTTATGCTTTGAATTTCTAAGTGGTAATCGCTTTGCGTAGAAAATGTTTTGAAGCAGATTTGAATTCAGTGTATGCAACATCAGTTTTCAAAATGTTTCAGAAACTTTCTTCTGATTCATCCCAACCATTTCAAAGTTTTGGCATTAAACAGAGTGCTACTCTACTTTGTGAGTACATGAAAGTCATTGATACTATTCGGTTGTATATGAAGAGGCAGACGAATAAATTTCCGAACATTCAGCCAGGTTACTTTAATTAATAAAGTTTAACTCATTATGAAATCGTGAAACGAAGAACAGTTATAATTAGGAAGTATAACCACTAACAGATAAACTTCTTAATCGTTTATATTAAACTAAAAGTCTTTTTCTCAAACTCTTTAGTTTCAACGGTGAAATGTTCGAACATTTACATTGTAAATGGAAAAACAGATAGTTTTTTTCATAGTTGAAAGAGTGAGTCAATTGAAGCTAGACCACCATGGAGAACCTGGAGACACTGGACGGTCATTTCGTCCTATTATGGGACTCCTCAACAGTGCGCATCCACGAACCCGCTCTCGCGAGATTCGAACCAAGGATCTACCAGTCTCGAGCCAGAGTCAACCGATAGACCACTGACCTGGCAACCAACGGTGTTAATGTCTAATTTCCGTCCAGTGTTTCCAGGTTTTCCATGGTGGTCTAGCTTCAATTGACTCACGCTTTCAACTATGAAAAATACTAAATCTCCACAAAACCCCTTCTGATAATTAAGATAGTTTTTTGTTGTCAAATTACAAAAATAATTGTTGACCATTATTATTGACTTTCTTCAACATTTTTATCAAAGGATAATTTATTGAGTCTTTTTGACCGTATGAAATAGACTTGTAACTATGATCAATAATATTTATCAACAGATATCTGTCATTTATCCGGCCTAATTATGTTTCCTTCATTTAATACTACGTATAATTACGTAATCCTTTGATTTAAATTAAAAACTGGTTAATTGAAATGATCAGAAACTCTGTGTTCATCCATTCTCCCCTTTACATATAAAAGCACAAACACAGATTCAATCGAATTGTTAGTTAGAAGATAATTAGATATGAAATCATGCTTTTCGTGTGTGTGTGTGTGTGTGGAAAGGAATACATGACGAATTGTTAAAAAGCATTGATAATAATAATTCCATTGTTACCATTATACCTACCAGTATGTTTGATATTTGTCTGAATTAATAAAACAAAATTTATTTGTGTTTTTTTATGGATTATATAAAATACTGGAGCCCATATTCTATAATTTGATAATTGTTTAAACTATGATCATTATAGAGAAATGAAATTAGAATGAAAGTTTTTAGAATTATCTCATATAGTTAAACAATTAAATGGGAAATCGAAAAAAAAGAAAATTAAAATAATTGAGGTCATAGTTGTACAGAAGTTATGTCTATAAGTGTGTATGTGAATAGTTTTGATCCCAAAAATTTTAGGAGTTGAGCAAGTATTAAAACAAATCATTGCAGTATGAATATTAATCGGAATTTCACAACTACTAACAGAAGAGTATACATCGAAGTTCTATAACTCATCAATGACTATAAAATTGTTAATCAGCAATCTAACAAAAAAGATATTTGAAGTTAGAGATGAATACCGTTGGATTCCGGCTCAGTGGTCTACAGGTTAAGCATTCGCTCTCGAGACCGGAGGTCCTGGGTTCGAGTCCTGCGTGCGGGATTGTGAGTGCGCAGTGCTGGGTAGTCCCATACTAGGACGAAACGGATGTCCACTGCTTGCAGATTCTCATTGGTGATCTAACATTGATCGGTTCATGATCTCAACAGTGGAAATACTAAATTCTCCACAAATCCCCCTCTGATCTATAATCATATGCTCACTAGTGATTGACTTCAAGAGATATTTCCTTGAGTTCTAGTGGGAAGCAGTGACCAGTGGAGTTCTACCAAGCCTGTTGTAGAGATATAAACTCACTGCAGACAATTGGTGAACGGTTGCTCAGATTTCATGGATTGGTTGAAGTTAGATATTAACACCGTTGGATGCTGACTCAGTGGTCTATCGGTTAAGTGCTCTGGCTCGAGACTGGTGTGTCGTTGGTTCGAATCTCGCGAGTGCGGGATCGTGGATGCGCACTGCTGAGGAGTCCCATAATAGGACGAAATGACCGTCCAGTGTTTCCAGGTTTTTGATGGTGGTCTAACTTCAATTGACTCATGATTTCAACAGTCAATAAAAATCAACAATCTTCATAATTCTATACTGATAAATATATTTTTAACTTAAAACCGTGAATTATATCAAGGGATTTTGTTTTAATGCTATTAAAAGTGAAAATTATGATTTTCTGTTTAATTTCTTCAAAAGTTCATTTCATCAATAATGACTGAGATGGTTTACTTTGTTATTTATATAAAATTGTAAAACCTTTATCGCTTCATTTTCTAAAGAATCAATTACTTCTAAACTTGGTCTTGTAAGAGTTTGTAAGTATTCGTCACTGATAAGTTTTGAAGTTGAATAAAAGAAATGTATGATTTTCATAGGTCATTTTTTAACCGACTTAAGTTTAAGACGATAAAGGAGATTTATAACTCAGGAGGATGATTTTCATAGAAATACATTCTATGAGCTGGATAGTTTAACAGTCAGGTTTTTATTGTCTTTCATGAGAAAATCACTAACACAACTATCAAATGATGTTGTCTGGAAAGATAATGAAAACTTGGCTATTAAACTATCCAGTTCAAAGAAAGCAGATCCATTGAAATAGGTTTATTGTAAAACAAATCAAGTTTAAAAGAATAAAATTAATCCAAACTTCAACATATCTAATCCATTCAGAATTGTTAGTAAAGTTGGAATACTTTTCTTTAACAAGAAATTAAATCAGACTAGCATTCAATTGAATGAAACAACTGATATATGTACTATACTATGTTATAATCTTATTTTAAGCAATTTTTATGTTTGGTTCTGATTAATAACTGTCATTTTGGGGTAAGATACATGTCTGTGAATATGTTTGTAATACCTAGCACTTTTTCGTTCATTTAATGCGTATATATTCAATAAAGAAGCTTAATTTTCAATGGGTTATTTCACTTTAAGCTGTAACTTTCACTGTATATGCCTTTTTCATTCAGGAAGTTGGGATATCCTCCAGTGACATATTTAGTTAGCCTGAGGTGATTGAAATGAAATCCCCAGTAAAACGTATACCCTCATATACATCATTGATCCACTATATGAATGAAAAAGTGCTCAAAAATACCAGATACTGAACTTTCATTTCGTGTGCTTATTTTTGTTTGTCTATTTTCACATTTGTTTTAGGTGAAAGTTTGGTTCCAAAATAGACGTATGAAGAAAAAGAAATTACAGTCACGTAATCATAATCCAACTGGTAATAATAATGGAATAACCGGCAGTCTTTCAGAAACTGGTAATGATATCACCGGTAAAGAAAGTGTTGAATGCATGCTGGAAGATGGTGATGAAGAAGATGATGAGGACGGACAAATTGAAGATGATGAAGATGACGAGGAGGAAGAAGAAGAAGAAGAGGATGATGAGAGAGAAGAAGTGGAAGAAGATGAGGAAAAGAAAGAAATCGATAGCAATCATTATCACCATCATCATTTTCGTGAACAGCAATACAGTCGACTTATAAATAATTTTGACAGTCATCTTCATCACCATAGCAACAATAATAATAATAATGAAATGAACTTAAGAGGGCAGTTAAAACAAACTGCATTTATGAAAAAAATAGATAAAACTTCAGATTCAACTATTGAAGAATATGATGAAGATTCTGTAAGAAGTGAGAAGTTTAAAATGGAACATGAATTTCTTAATTTAAGTTCAGATATCTATTCAAATTCATCATCATGTTTTATCGACACAATAAATGATTATGAAAGTAATCATCCATCAATTACAGATATAAGTAATAATAATAATAAACTCTATAATCGTATGAAATTTAATAAATTTTCCCATGAATTATTCCCTCCATTTTATTATAATTCATCAATTGAGAATAATTTAATGAATTCAGAATTCAATTTTAATCCAGTCAATATGAATCGTGATTTATTATTTGATCCTTTAAAAGAATCGTTGAAAAACCAATTAGTTAATCCAAGTCAAAATAAACATTTAAGCTCTCATATAGGATGCCCATTGGTTAGTAATGATAATAATAATAATAATAATATGAAAGAATACGATATGAATTTGTTGTCACCATCATTATCAACGTCAATCCCAACAATAAGAACATCCACTGAATCAACTAATCATTTCACAGGATTACCTTCATCGCCAAAATTAGATTTACAAACAGACTATCATCCAATATGTTCAACGTTTGATAGCTCTTTTCATCCAACAGTTGATTTAAAATCAAATTATTTAACTTCTAACCGTCGATTTCAACAAAGAGCTGATGTTCATCACAACCAATTGCATAAACAACACTGTTTAAATATCAATCAATCTGAAATATGTGATTCGATACATTCAAACGGAAGTTATAGGGGAAATGATTCTGTTCTACAATTGACTGAACATAATTTATCCGGTAGTCAGTTAAATAAAACTGATTTATCCCTTGACAATCAAATGAGTTTAACCAGGATTCAGAGTTCACTGTTACAAGTAAATCCAAATTGTTTGTCTAAAACATGTACAACAGAGAGTTATTCTCAAAAGCCATTGAACTGCAATGAAAATTTTAATACATTACCACAGTTGAATTCACATATTTCGTATGATAGTAATGAATCAACTGTAGATCTAACTACTAATACTGCTATAGCCACAAATATTAATACTCCTACATCAATAGGTGTACCTTCAAGAGGCAGAATAAATATTATGAATTACAATTTAAATCCATTCACAGTAAATGACTCTGACTATTATATGGGTCAAGTGGAGTCTAATCACAGTTATACATTGAATCTTGACTGCTCACCAATCTCTCATTACTCCTTTTTACCTACCTTAACAACGACATCAACACTAGAAGCACAACTAACTACCTGTTGGCCTCCTATATCCACGTCAACTACTAATAAATATTTGTCACCTCCTCCAGGGTCGTATCCTTTACAGTCAACAAATCCTGATACGGCAGTGAGTGCTACGGTATCAGATGATATCGATCAAAGTAGTGAGTCATTTTCAAGTAGCATAGATCATGATGTGTCATTTCGAAAAAATATATTTCGTTCCCTAAAAAGCTCTACAGCCGATCCAAATAACTGTGAATTAGATCAATCTAATTTATCATATTTACCAACATCAATGAATGTATATAGTGCATTCTCAAAAGGTTCACATAATTCAAATCAATTAAATTTCTCTGATAGTAATGATTCATGTACTTTTTCAACTTACACTTCACAACTTAATAGTTCATGTAATATGAATACAAATGAAACAATGAATTCATATTTACCTGAAACAGATTTTCATTTGATTACTGATCGTAATCAAGATGATAATTCTATAAAACAAAATCCTTCATTAACACAATACTCAATACCATCTAGTACAAATTTATCTCCAATACATCATTTAAATAATGTATTTAATCAAGTTAATCATGGCGATTTTAATTCAATGTTTTATTCACCATATTTACATAATACAAATTCATTTGGTTATTCAATAGCTGGACATGATATGTTATCTATTACCGATTCATATAATCCTAATGTTTTAAATAATTTAACACAATCAATAAATCAGTCTTTCAATCAATCTACTACTAACATAACTCCTGTTAATAATAGTAGTAGTGGTACATTTCCAATGAATACTACTATTCATTTAAGTAATTTATGTAATACAACTAATATAAATAATGTCACTTTACCATTCCCAATGATTTCTACGAATACACATTCATTAGACTTATCTTCTACATGATATGTTTAAAACAATTATGTGGATATGTATATTTTAAAATCAGTATTCTTTAATCAAAATAATTTCTAGTCTCATTTAATAAACATTTTTTTAAAAAATTTTACTCTCATAAGAATGATATCTTAATCAGATCATATTTAATATGTAAATAAAAAACAATCAGTGGACAAGATGATACTGTTCTTTATACTACAAGACAGCTCTAAACATAAGAAATGAATGTCGATTGACTTAGATACAAACATATACTCTTTTAATGAATAATTAGTCAATTGTTATTCATATGATTATGTCATATTTGAATAATCAGAAATGAAACTGGTTTATATTCATTTCAAACTTTACATTTTGTGTCATTTGAAGACAATTATGTAAAACGAATTACTCCCTTGAGTTAAACAACAATATCACTATCAACAACCGGGATATCTGTTTTTTTGTTTCTTTGTGAATTAAAAAAATCTTTTATAACAGTATTCATGTTCTCATGTTTTTTTATTCCATTGTGTCTCATACTTTTATTCTTTCTTTCCTCTGCTTCGCTTATTCATTCATGAAGTTCACTCTCCTTGACACGCACACAACCACACGACAGAAATCCTGAAAGGGTAAGACTTGATCCAACATATTTCTTACAAAGAATCAATTTACCTTGTTTTTTTTCTTGTTCATGTTGTTTGTTTACATATAAATAATTATTTACTATTATTATTATGATTATTTATAATTATTATTTGTTATTTGAATTTTAAATTGTTGAATTTTGATTTCTTCATCTTTACACTATTAAAATAATGACGGAACAATTTTTAAAAAAAAAACAAAAAAGTTTTTTGTTTTTGAACAAAGTTGAAACAAAAACTTTTTAAAATTTACTTTTCTTCCATTTACCCCCCCCCTCTCACCTTCCATCTTCTTCCTGTATCATTTTGAGGGTTTTGTAAAGTCACACTTTTTTTCTTCGATAACGAATATCATGAAATATATGTAATATGAGTCTGAAGTTATTTATCAAATGTAATTTCTTCTTCGAAAATCAGTTACTATTGATTTAGGCTTCATGATAAGAGAATGATGTCTATGTTCATTGAAATAGCCAAAATTTTATCGAATATAAAGTGGGTTCAACAAGAAATCAACGTTTAGTTGCTAAGCAATTATCTTGTTTATTTAGTATAGAATAGTGTCTGCATTAAAAATGTTTACTTACTTACTTAAGCCTGTTGCCCATGGTGGAGGAGCATAGGCCTTTCACCAGAAGTCTTCACAGAACTCTGTCTTAGGCGATCCTCTTCAGCTGTTCCTAGTTTCTATTCATTCTTTGAATGTCTCTTTCCAATTTGCGGCGCAATGTGTTCCTTGGTTACTACAAATGACTATCAATTAAATTTTAAATTACAAATAACTTTGAGTAACATGTAGACACAAAAAATGTCAGTTTTATTTATGTAACAATGGGCGATTCCAATACTCTGTTGTACTTTCGCTTGTTGAATTCAAAGTATCGGTATTCAAAGTCATTGGTGTGTGCAATCTTCTCGGTATGATTAATAACACTAACACTGGAATTAATAAAATTTGGGAGAATAATCCAAAGCATTTATAATGCAAACTGAAGTGGTTTAGTAACTGAAAAATTCATTTTTTTTAATCTTAAATCAGACTAATTAGCTTTACAAATAAACTAGTTCTCACCTAGAAATTAATTAACATGAATAATCCTGTTTTACTTCTGTTAATTGAGAAAAATAGTGTAGTATAGAGCAGTAGTAAATCTCTACAAGATTTATAAACCGAATTAAGAGTGATGTGGTTAGTACGATATTCTAATATTTCGTTTATTTTGTTAATGGCTTTCATTCTTCAACTGATGAGTATTTCTGAACTATTTATTTAAATCCTTCATTAAATTAGAAGAAATATTCATCCTTTATAACTGAATGCAGTACAGAGATCTCTAAATTGTTCATAACTCAGCATAGTCGGTACAAAATGAAATGATTATGTACGTCTCAAGTAGTCGATAATATCTATTGTAAAGTATTACCAGACTAATGACTAGCTTTGAGAGGGAATTCTTGGAGTTCTAGTGAGAAGTCGTGACCATTGGAGTTTAACCATGTAAGGTGTCAGGCAGTTATCCACCGAAGACAATAAAAGATGGTCTCGTATCATCGTGGGTTGATTGAAGTTAGACACTAAAACTATTGGATACCGATTCAGTGGTCCTTGGTTCAACTCCCGTATGTGAGATCATTGATGCACACTAACGAGGAGTCCCATAGTAGAACTAAACGGGGGTCCATTACTTCCAGGTTTTCAATGATGGTCCAAAATTGACTTCAGTGAAATTAACTGAAATCAACCAAAAAATCAAAGCCATTGGTTGATATTCATAGCGTTTACCATAAGATCAAAAACTGATTAGCTTAATCTTGTTCGAGCACCACTACTCAAACTGTTGAAACATTTTGAATCACAACAAAATAACTATTTTCTGTAATCCTTAATTTTTACTATTTACTCAAATGATATCAGACAATTATAAAAAAATGTATTGATTTCCAGAGAAAATTATCTATGCATACCTAATATATATATATTTTATTAACACAATTATTAGAATCACGTACAAACAAACAAACAAACCTCGATGCTACAGTTCCAAAATCAATGAATATTTAAAGTAGAATATATTTGTGCTTTATTTTTTAATTAGATATAAATAAATACATAAGGGCATTGATTGACATTTGATAATAAATTCATGTTATACAAGTTGGACTCATTTACGTAATACTTATGTCTTATTAGCTCTGTAGAATTAATAATAATAGTAATAGTAGTAATAGTAACAGTAATGATAATAATACTACTACTAACAATAATAGTAATAATAATAATTCATTTAAGCAATTGTAGTTTTATTTAGTCTGATATTTGTTTTAATTACTATATATAATCAGAACAGTTTACAAATTGAAATGATGGTGCATTATTAATATGTAAAAGAAATGTATTATTAATACTTATATAATTAATGTATTACTACGTAATCAATTAAAATAGTAATAAAATGTAACAATGAACAATACCTTAAAAATTTTGTGGCACTTATTTAACAGATAATTAAAGCTTAATAAGAGTATAATAATGAATTGATTAACTAAATTGGTCATTGGAATGATTCAAATAACTAGGTTGAATGAATTCATTATTTATTAAGGTCATTGTTCAATATACATGGATAAAACAATTAAAGCTGATATATTATTATTATTGTTATAAATAGGTAATATTCAAATAATTAGTGACAAGCTAGGGATGGTTAACAGTTAGTATCAATAATATTATACTGAACATTTTATCATTAATAAAATTACTATTTACTGTTATCCTTTTTCATGGTCAATTGTGTTTCAGAGATCGTATGAATATATATCACATAAGATAAATTGAATAGAAGTAAAGTGAATATTGTTAAGGATAACAGTCATCTTGGAAATAATTAGTATTATGAACTGAGGTCACCTAGGAAACCTCTGAAAACCGTAGAACACTGAAAATCTAATTCTTTTAAATTTCTAGCAACTCAGGAGCTTCAAAGATTTTGGATTAGATTTCATGTACACCCATGGATTGCGTACTTCAGAGGAGTCCAAATAAAAAATTAAATAACTATTCAGTAGTTTCTGATTAATAATGGTTTTCCAAGTATCATCAATTCATCAATATAACTATATCTAAAATTTATTAATAACTTGAGATGATAGAGAGAATTTATAGTGAAGGATGAGGATTTTGGAAGCATTTCATGTTTTGAGCTGAATAAAATAATCGATGGAACTTTCAATGTTTTAATAGTAAATATCAACACAAACGTTTTATTTTTTGAAGTATGTGATAATGTTGTTGCTTCCAAGAGTAATGGAAGCCTAATAATTAAGCTGTCCAATATAGAAAACATGTCTTTACAATGTAAATTGAACTCCATAAACCATTTTAGGGAAATTTTTATTAAGGCTATATTAAATGATCAGAAATAACAAACTATAGAGTAAGCAAAGATGGATAGTGGCTAGCAGTGGAATCCAGGACGCAAGTATCGTCCTATTTGGGACTCGTCAGCTGGATGTACCTGCATCTCAGAGTTGATGTTCACTCTGGGACTCGAACCCAGTACCGTTCGCATCAAACGCCATCGCGTTATCCATCTTTGCTTACAATGCTTGTGAATTAAAGTTATATCGAGGCAATACGCACAGTATGTACATATGCCAATAAGAGACTGACCAGTTTCAGTCCTAAACATAAATGGGAAGATTCAAACAAACGATACTAAGTGAAATTAATGTTAGCCAATGTAACTGAACTATTTAGATTCAAAGAACGTGATATATTTTTAATCCTTCTGTTGAGTTACAATTTGTCATAGTATCATAATTAAAATTGATTCACCTCGTGAGATTCGAACCAAGGACCTATCAGTCGTGGCGAGGCAGGATCGTGGATGCGCACTGCTGAGTAGTCCCACGATAGGACGAAACGGCCGTCCAGTGTTTCCAGCTTTTCCATGGTGGTATATCTTCAATTGACTCATGATTTCATTCATATAAAATTGCTAAAATCTCCAAATAAACCCTTTCTGATAATAGACTACATTGTTAAAAAAATAGCTAAGAAAAATTACTATCATCGGCAAGTCATATATGAAAATGGATAACTCTTGTGTCATGTATGTTTTATACAGTCTTGATATAAAATATTAGGTAACAGACAATAAAAGATAAGATTTGAAGATGTGTTTTAATATTTTTATACAACTAAATAATCGGCTAAGTATATTTAACATAAACTAAATTATTATCAAAACAGTCATTGAGAATCAATGAGTCGTTAATTTTTTCTCTGTCACCTGCTTACTATTCATTTCAAGATCTGAAGAAGAAATTTGATAGCTCTATGCAACTATTAAAAGACAAATATAGTTAATCAGTAATTTTAGTGTTATACAAACTGTCACGTTAAATGACATAGTTCTCAAGTGTTTTACTATGCAAATGAGACTCATATCATTAAGGCCCATTACAAAGTTTGATAACAAGTTACTTGGGACTTAAGATATTAATTATTACTGTCAGTTTGGGGCCGTTTGAAAACTATGCTATAACAAGGGGATTTGATACAAGCAACACTAAACTATATTCAGGAGTTGCATATCACTCTATTTTTAGGTTTTAACAAATTTTTAAATTAAGAAATTCATAGCCAAATAAAATCACGATTTGCGAAACCATGTGATATTAAGAAAAGTTAAAATGAATTCAATACATCTTACATATTTTTCAATAATACATTTATTACTTAAACATCTTGATCAATTTAGAAGTTTTAAATAACCATGAAAATCTGACTTTGAACCTAACCATTAGAACATTTGAACTACTTAATTACAGACACCATCTCAACATTATATATGTTGTTACTTTGACATTGATTTATTGTAAACCGAACACTTTTCTTTAAAAAAAGTTCTGTATTCTGAAATAAGAAATTTAGATATAATTGGAATTAGTTATTTACTGTATTAAAGTTGCTGGAATATTGTCGAACTGAAAGATAATTTTAATTTTGTCCTTAAGTTCGTTGGAAAATCACTCAGGAAGCACTGGACAACTATTATTTCCTAGCTCGATAATCGTTAGCAGTGTAGGCTT